TCTTTGGGCCTCGTTCCACTACCCTCGACTTGAAAAAATCTCTAGGGCGGCGCCGTTCCACTACACCCTTGAGATGTGCTAATCATTATTAGAAAGTGATTAAGGTTCCCGCCTTTTTTTTTCTTTTTCTTTTTTTTTCTGTTTTTAAAGAAAGGGCCCAGTGCCCAAGGCTGATATTATCAATGAGAATGCTGAGGCCGGGGTCCTCGCAGTCTATCCAGAGTGATCGCACGACCCTGGCTTAGAACCGGGCTCAGCGTCCCTTGAATGAAAAAAAAATAAAGGAAACCGTAATGATGATACATGCAGGCCTTTCCATGACAGGGAGAGAAACCTCTTCATCTTGTCATCAGGCGCCAGATCCATCCCGCCTCAAGAAAGTCCCGCTCTGAAACTCGAGGGCGGCCGTAGGGTGCCCAAGCAACTTCGGCCAATTTTCAAGTCACCTCCCAGAGGTGACTTTAATTTTCTTGGAAACGGCACCAACATGCATCGCCAGGCAGTTCAGCCCCCTGATCCGGTCCTTTTTTTTTTGTTTTTCTTGCCGATCGTGGTTGTCTTGGTCCAGCGATGGACCTGGGTGGTGAACCACGCGAAGTAGCTGGGTGGTAAACGCGGGCACAACGCTATCAAGCTGCGCGGCGCTGTCATTCAGGGAGCTGGAAGATGTCTTCCCCCGAATACAATGCCCGTTCATAGGCCGCAGTTGCTGGTACCGCCGCGATTCGAATTTCGAATTCGTACGGTGCAGGCAGCGAACTGAAATTTGAGTCACAATCGCATACAAGGCAGACATTTCCGTATCCCCTGGACCAAACAAGTAACCACCTTGTGAAAATTCCCTAATGAACCGGGGCGCACATTTTCCCGCTCCTTTTGCGAGAGGGAACTGCAGGGTGTAGTGGAAAAGACGACGACCTCCAGTATTTTCTAATTACGTTTTGGCTCAAGGGCGCTGGTAGGGTTGCCCTTGAGATTTTTTTCAAGTCGAGGGTAGTGGAACGATGCCCTTTTTTTTTTGGCTGCCGACGCTGCCCGCCGAAATTTTTTGCGTAAGAGCCAGCACTGCATTTTTCATTTTGTTTTGGCCGGCCACGGCTGAGGCTTGGATCCCACTGGCCGGCGGCGTGGAAAAACTTTGGCGAGGAAGCCTATTTCAGACCCCACAGGTGTTGGAAACCGTCGTGGAAAGTCGTCAAGGAAAGGAAAATCAGACCCCACTGCGGTTGGAAAGAGGTCGTGGAAATGCTGACGGGGCGTTTCTTCTCGGCTCGCGATCTGGAAATTTCTGGCGACGAGTTTCCAAACAGTTTCCAAGGACGGCTCCAAACGAGTAAAGGGGGGGGCATGGAAAAGAGTTTCCAGAAAACGATTGGACGGCGCGAACCACGGACCGTAGCCGTGGACCGTTTTCTGGACCAGTGCTTCTGCGCGGACACGGTTTTCATTTTCTTGCGTCGCACGGTTCCCACCAGGGCCCGGGGGGGTCTGGGCCCTCCATGCTACCCTCGGACTGTGAACGGCAAGACGCAGTATTTCAAATTTGAATTTTTTTGGCGGGATCGGGACGTAGGCCAGCCATGCAGTCGCTTCATGCCCACCGACTTCAGTGGCAGAAGCATTGGCAGTGACACCCTCACGTCGTCGTCGTCGACACGTCCATTAAACCCTCCGTTGTTTCTCACGGGCGTTATGCCATCGCTCATCTCTTTCGCACATGCAGGTTCCCTGGCCTGCCAACGGGGAAGCCATCTCTGGTGGCGTCGGCAGGCGTTCTCCGGCAGGGGCTTCCATTTCGAAGTCGTAGGCGTTGTGTCGAGCAATGTCTGCAAAACGCACAACCCGGCCACGGCGCTCTCGCTATCTGCCCGCACGCACACATATCGTCCAATGCTGACCTCCCGTGTCGTCGCCATTGCACATGCCTTGCTCCGTCGTGTGCCTCCCTTGCCATCCTCCCTTCTTCGTCTGCCTCGGCAGGGCAGTCGTTTGTCCTCGCCGGAGAGCAACACCAGCTCATGTGGCCACGGGTGGGCTGCACGGGACGATGTCGTCATAAGTCCTCATCCAAACACTCGCCACGTGTCGGTTGTCGAACGCTGTGGTCGGGTGTGTGGATGTGGCAGCCGCCATCGTCACTATTCAGTGGATGTTGTCATAAACAACCACTGCGGCGGCTGCGGTTGACGAAAACAACCATCTTTGGCTGTTATCGCTGTCGTGCTTGCCGTTGCTATCCTCCTTTCCGCAGCGTTTGTGTTGTCCGTTGTTTTCTGGTGCGCAATCGTGTACTTGTGCTGTCGTCGCTGGAGGTAAGCATCGCAGTGTTGTTGTTCGAGGGCGCATTGCGTGTTTGCAGGTTCCCTGGCCTCCGTGGGTAAAGCTTCCTCAGCCAGATGGAGTCGTACCGGTCGACGACAGATCCCTGTGCGGGCAATGGCCGGGGTTTCCAGACCCAGGACATGCGACAACAAGGATCTGTCCACTACTCCACGCCTTCGCCGTCGAGTGTGCAATCCTTCAGCGGGCAAATGCAAGAGGTTGTGCGTGCGGGGTCGATTCAAGTGCCTGCTGCTCGTGCGGGCTCACCATCTGTCCATCACGTGGATGCTGCACGTCGGCGGTTCGTTGTTCGACCCACTGCAGAAAGTCTGCACGCGGGCGCCATGCACACGGGCCAAACGTCATTTTGCACACAGGTTGGAGGCGGGTATGGCATGCCTTCTCCGCACATGTTTCCGGGGGCCGGCGGATATGGCATTGCGCCGCACGTGTACCCCGCCCAGCACACTGTGGAAAGGGGCGGAGTGATGAGGGACGAGTGGCAGTGGTCCCCACAGTGCCGACAACCGTCGCAGCCCATGCATGGCGGGTTGTCCGCTCCCTCGCCCATGTCGGTGCCGCGGTTTGCTGCCGAGGCCTCACCTTCGGTGGCAAAAGTGCAACGAGAGGACATGGACGAGGGGTGGCCTGTCCATAGTCGTGCTCCGTCTCCTGCCGGCTTGCAAGGTCGTTCCTTTGGTGGCGAGGAAGACGACTTCTTTGGCGACGATGAAGTTGAAGGTGATGGCGGTGACGTTGATGGGCGAAACTCGGACAACGCGCAGGAGGAGAGGGACAGTGCTACTGTGGGGCAGAGAGATGGGGGCGAGAATGAAGCGGGGCCCCAAACCAGCAAGCATGCAAACAAGGGGGGGGGGAAAGATGCTGCTGCGAAAAGCAAGAAGCAAAACATCCCCTGGTCCTTGAATGAGAGGATCGCGTTGTCCAGAATGATGGCCGAGGACGACGCCCTTATGGCCGACGCCGATGGGCAGCATCGGTTTAAGCGGAGCAAGGACCGGTATGAGTGGGTGTACGATCGGATGGCGGAGCTGGGGTTTCCGCACAGGTCGGCGGAGGATTGTCGTAAGAAGTGGCAGGGCATGATGGCTGCCGCGAAGTTGATTCTCGACAAGTGTGAGAATGCTTCGGGGAAACCTTCCTACTGGGACATGACCCTTGAGGAGTGGAAGGCCGAGCAGGTTCCACTAGGCCTTGAGAAAGCTCTGTGGGAAGCGATGGAGTGGAAACTGAATCGGCCTTCCATCAAGTGCGACAAGACGCTGGCGTCGGAGAACCTGCCAGCTAACGCGGGGGGGAATTCTTCGAGCGGCGGTCCTGCACAGCCGTCGTCGGGGAGGAACGCTTATGACGGGAAAGCAACGAAGGATTCAGACCACGCAGCGAAGACACGGAGGACAAACACCGGCAAAGCGAGGATGGACAACACGATCAGCGGAGGGACAACATTGGGTAGGGCGATGGAGGACGCGACAAGGTCTTAGGGCGAGGGTTTGGATAAGGCCGCTGCCACTCTGGCGAGGGCAACGTCGGAGGCAGGCTCGGCGATTGTGGCGAAGATCGGTGACGTGGCAGATGCCATGCGTGGCGGGAACACTGTCCTTGAGATGCTCGTGGGGGTTCTCGCAAGGCGTGGAGGTGGGGGGAACAATGCTGCCTACGATAGGGGGGATACAGACCCCTCTTCGCGGTAATATATATATATATATATATATATATAAAGATGGGTACCGGCTGTCGTTTCCCACCCCCGACGTCGACAACGGGCGTCCCCTCCCTTGTCCTGTCACCATCAACCGGCGTGTACATATTTGTGGACACACCAGTTGATGGTGACCGGACAAGTGATGGGACACCCGTCGTGGATGTCGGGACGAGGAAACGACAGTCGGCACCCGTCTTGCCCGTTGTGCACGTGTGTCTGTGGCCGGTGCCTGCGTGTATATACGTGGCCAGTCGCGACTTCGCTGGGCAACGCAGTCGTTGGTGGGCGTTCTTCAGTCGACGACAAATTCGTCGCGAAACGCGGAGTTGCCTGCACGTGAAGGCACAGAGAGAGAGAGAGAGAGAGAGAGAGAGAGAGAGAGAGAGAGAGAGAGAGAGAGAGAGAGAGAGAGAGAGA